CCGGCGGTAGGGAGAGTTGCTGGGACAACTGTGAGTCATCTTTAAGGCTGTCACACCGGAGACGGTCAGTAGGGAGAGTTGCTGGGACAGTTACGGTTACTGTGACAACTGTGAGTCATCTTTTAAGGCTGTCACACCGGAGACGGTCACCGTGCGGAGTGACCACACAACCGCTGTTGCGAGTGACCAGGCGGTAGTCGCAGTGAGAGCGGTGAAGATAGTTGAAGAAGAAGGAAGACAGACAAACAGATTGAAGTGTTGAGTTTCACTTTTCTGTCTGTAATGTGAGACGGTCCACACAAAACTTTCTGTCCTGAGTCACAGTGAAGTGATCACACACACACACACACACACACACAGTGGCTCTCAGTCAGACGTTGGTCTTCCTCAGTTTGTCCACCACACCTTCGTGGTCTATAGTAGATTAATAGTTGAGGAGTGAAAAATACATCATTTATAAAATTAAACTATTTTTTTCTTTATATATATTTGATTTTTTTTTTCATAATCCCAGACAACATCCAAAGGAGCTAGTGTGTTTTTTTTTTTACCAAAAGTTAAAATATTTTATTCTGTCGTCATTGTCATTCGTAAACCTCGGTTCGGATTTGTCACAGTGACACAAACTGACCACAGGAGGCAGCGGTAGACCAGCAACTCCTGTGTCCGTGTGAGCTAAAAGTCATTCATTTTCCCTGTACGCTTTAGCACAGAAGAGTTGTCGTTTTTAGATTAGGTTTTTCAGATTTCTTGTTATATATTGAGCATATCAACGTTCAAAGAAGTAAAGTAAACCATACAACTCAAAGAGATAAACAAAAAAACAACGAAATTTTCCGGCAGTGAGAATATATTTTTTATTCTTGCAGCGCAGTTTTTTATGTAGATGTTAAGGTGTTGACAGACACTATAAAATTAGAACTTGTTTATAATACTGAATATACAATTTGGTCAGGAGACTGAAAGAAACATGGAGAGGAATCACAACATCTCTCTGCCTCTGGAGGGTTGAAAGAAAAAAAGAGCCGACGCTGTTTATCGAAAAGTGAGCATGTGCTGACATGTTCATTTATAACGAACAGGAAACATCAGCTGACCAATTGATTAGGGAGAAATGAAAGGTATTGGCAGAGATTATTGATTTGATTCTGCTCTGACAATAATACATGTTTTCCTCTGAGACACGACTGAGCTGCGAGGTTCCGTAATAAACATCGACTGTACGGGTTTTTACTGTTTGAGACGTTTGTGGCCATTTTCGGCCATTTTGTGTGACATGCCACATATTGAAGACCGTATGATAATAATAGAGTACATGTCAGTAAATATAGTCAAATATGTTTTATAAAGATGTAACAGAAATGCTTAAAAGGAAGCAAGAATATGGTAAAATAATTTGTCTTTTTTAGTGTATATGAATGTTACGGTATAACTTCCGGAGTATAAGTCGCAGCAGTCAAAAAATGTATAATGAAGAAGAAAAAATCATATAGAAGTCGCTCCGGCGTATAAGTCGCATCAGCTAGCTAGAGTGCCCTCTTGTGGCTGTCGGTGAGAAAATAACAAACATGTAAATTTTCAGTGGCACAGGAGTAGCAGATGCTGGAACACAAGTTTAGAGCGCCCCCTAGTGGCTGTCAGTGTAAAAATAACAAACATGTGAAATGATATATTTTAGTCGCACCTGAGTATAAGTCGCAAACCCAGCCAGAGGATGGAAAAAAGTACGACTTTCAGGAGTAGCAGATACTGGCGCACAGGCCTAGAGCGCCCTCTGGCGGCTGTCAGTGTGAAAATAACAAACGTGTAAAATTATATATTTTAATATATAAGTCGCAAACCTAGCCAAAGGATGGAAAAAAAAGCGTGACTTATAGTCTGAAAAATATGGTAATTAATTCTTTATTAGTATTAATATTAATATATCAGCATAGTATTTAACCATGACTTTACTGTGTGGCAACAACGGGGTTAACATTTAGCCGCCGGTAGCTTCTCCAGGACTAAAGTGTTGAGGAAACACTTTGTGAACTTGACTTTTATTCAGAAGGACATCAGCACGTTCTCTCGTCCTGCCACTCTGCTGTAAAATTTTAAACTCAATTAAAAAGTGTAATAAGAAAATGCAAATGGAGCCATCCTTCTGCTTTTCATCAAGATAAATGGCTGCTGGCACTCATTTTCCCATTGGTGCCGACAATGCCGTGTAGGACAAGAGAAATGTCTCCGGAGAAAGATTAAAAGGTCAGAGAGTAAACACAAAGAGACAGTTCTACTACAGGATACACGCTGCCGTTGTCGCTCTCACAGATCACATGCTGACAAAGTCACTTTCGCACAATGCTGTATGTCCGCTTTACGTCTTTAAGTTAACACCAGGAACAAAAACAGGAGCAAGACTAACTGTAAGAGTTGTCCTGAAGACACGCAGTAACACTGAGTTAGGGCTGGGCGATATGGGAGAAAAAAAAAAAAAAGTTTTTTATTTTAGTTATTAACCTGCCAGTTTTGAAGCACCTGCACTGAAAAAACTGACACTAGAGAATGTGTATTAATATATGAAGTAAATATAAATAACAAAGCAAATTAAATAAGATGAACATAACAACAAAAGTATCAAAACAATTTTTTTTTTACTCAAAGTAGAAAAATATAAAATAACACAGTGAGCTAGTTTACACTCCTCAGTGCACGACCCGAAATAAACAAATCGCCCTCTCTGGGTCAATGAGGATGCGTCAAATTGTAAACGTTATCATTTTAACGTCAGCTGTTAACATCATTGCCAATGTGAATCATCTTTAATAACGATGCAGGTTACCTAGTTCAAAGTTACTTGCAAATGTGAATCATCTTTAATGACGATGCAGGTTACCTAGTTCAAAGTTAAAATATAACACAATACAATATATTGTTACGACCCCCCAGTGCGTCCTCCGTCCTCCTTATTGATTATTCTGGCAGTGTGGTCCTCCGGTAAATACACTGTTTGCAAGCATGTGCTTTGAAGAGTCCACTCTTTGTCCACGTAATCAATCAAATCAAATATGGCTCAGATGTCTGACTCGACCAAAGGTCAGTGTCGGCTTCAAAGTATTTATCTTTAAAGTCAGTCTCCAGCTTTCCTCGGTAGTCGTCACTATGCAGATTTTTTAATATTATACCCATAGTTTGAAGACATTTTGTATGATACAGAACAATCTGTTTTTTTGTTTTTTTGTTTTGGCTTAAAATAATCTTCTGTTTAAACGTGTCCTCACTTTTGATTTTATCGCATATTTATTAAAACCCAACTTAAAAAGTAATGACTGTCGTCAAGTACGCCAATGATCGTAAAACGCTTAAAATACCATCATCATCAGTCAGACGAATACGTTTGGCCGAACCGCGGCAATGTTGTTTTTTCAGATGTAGCATTGCTGGGACTGTTTTAAGTTAAGCTGTTGAACCGAACTGTAAATAGGGCTCGAGTCAAATTTATTAATGTTGGACATTTTATTTTAAGACAAGGAAAAAAATAATCTGTTAGGCAGACCTATCGTACGAGCTTTTATTTGCCAGAAAATTGGAAAGTGGAAAGAACCCATTTCCATTTAGTACCTCATTCCAGTCAGCGCTTTATTCTGTGAGATGTGGAAATGTAGAGAGAACCTGTGACAGAGTGCAATTTGTTGAAAATATTTCTTGATCACTGTAGTGGGAATGAAATGACTGAATGAATGGACGACGAAAGAAAATGTTACATTTTGTATGTGCTGTCAATTGAAGGAAATCGGCATCACAGAATCAGTGTTGATAATGTAAGAATAATACTGTTCTTGTTTATAAAGAAGAGTTTAATTAAAGTTTTATTTGACGTAAAAAAAAAACTCAATAAATATGTACAGTGTATATATTTTTTTTTTCTTTAGGCTATTAATATTATATCAATAAAAAATAACATCTCAGAAAACAGCCTCCAGCATTTCCAGAGTCTATGGAATATAATAAATTCATTTTATTCTGCAAAACACAGTTGGACTGTAAAAAGTGAGGGAGTTCAAAGCAGAAATGTTTGCTGCCGAAGCTGTTTATATAAGATAACATTCAATTCAGGAGGTGAGAGTGGGCAAGAGCAGAGTCAAAGAGACAAACATCAAAGAGGAAGATTAAAAAGATACTACATTAAAGGTAGCCTGTGAGTAAGATGAAAAAGGCTCGGAAAATGTTTTTAAAAACAAAACAGTTAAAAACAGCTATAATTGAATCAAACAGGAAATGTTTACTTACAAATGTTTTTTCATTACAATTCAAGCTAAATATTCAAAATATCCTAAGACTAGCAGTTTTGCGATAGATTTAAGTAAACCCTGAAATTCTGTCCATATTTGTGATTTTTTTTTTTTTTCAAAATTCAAACAAATTGCAAAGAGAAAAACCAATGATGGAAGCTAAACTATATTTTACAAATCGATCGGTTTTTAATAGGGATGCCCGATAATATCTGCCAACCGATATTATCGGCCGATATTAGCGCAATTATGTAATATTGGTAAGAATTGTTAATGGTTTTAGCTCCGACTAATTAAAAATAGTTTTAGACATCGCAGATTTTTTTTTTAATCCGATCACGCAACATTTGCGCTATATCGCGAGATATAGCAAAAAATAAACTAAAAGACAATATAAAATAATTATACATATAAGATTAAGTAAGTTTTGGCTTTAAAAATGTGGATTCTCGTTTTGAAATTGAGCTAAGCGCATTTGTGAACGATCGCTGGTAGCTTTGTTTACCTAGACGAGATCCTCTTTCTTTAACCCAAACGGATGCATATATTAGTATCGGTTGATGTCCGAATCTGAAATTATGCGCTTGGACAATATTGGCTAATCGGATATCGACAAGTTACTATCAGACATCTGTAAGTTTTAGAGAAATATGAAGTAACTGTTTTATCTCTTACATCTGTGTCTTTCTTGAATGCTCCATTTATGAAATTTGTTTTTTATTTCTTCAGACCCTGAAACCTTGAACCTGAAACCCTGGAATCCATCAATCCATCCATTGATGGATTTGTCGGCAGCCATGAAGCACCAATTTGTTCTCCTTCTGATTCTCTCGGTGACGCTCAGTTACACCTACTGCCAGTCCAACCAACGTCTGAAGCCCCGCCTCCAAAGGGACAGACGAAACATTCGGCCAAACATCATCCTGATCCTGACTGACGACCAGGACCTGGAGCTGGGTAAGGGGGGAAAAATGTCACTACCTCTGCGGATAAATTAACATTAACAAAGTGAGGTTCTCAGTCATTGTCAAGCTACTGTATGTAAAACAATGAACTCTGAACAGGTGGTGCTATTGAGTTAGCTGCGGGCTAATCATTTGTGCACTCTTCCGTAGGCTCCATGCAAGCCATGAATAAGTCTCGCCGCATCCTGGAAGAAGGTGGGACGTCGTTCACAAACGCCTTCGTGACCACGCCCATGTGCTGTCCTTCACGTTCCAGCATGCTCACTGGGAAGTAAGTTACCAACAGGTGATAAATGTTCCAACATGTCCAGCCTTCAGACAGTTCTCAGAGACTTACTGTGTGGCACATTAACGCAGTATTTGCTTCAAAGCTGAGGGCGTGACCGCCTGCTTGCAGCATGAGCTGAAATATTTCGTTTGTACAACTAGTGCATTTGGACTGCAGGTAAAAAAAACAGTCGCGTTTCTTTTCCTTCCTCCTCAGGTATGTCCACAACCACAACACCTACACCAACAATGAGAACTGTTCCTCGCCGTCATGGCAACGGCAGCATGAACCCAGGAGCTTTGGGGTTTATCTTAATAGCACTGGATACAGGACTGGTATGTGCACCAACACACGAACAAACAAACGCGCAACTGTATAAGCCTGACTTTACGTGTTTTTTTTTTTTTTTTGTTTCGCAGCTTTTTTCGGGAAGTACCTGAACGAGTACAACGGCTCGTACGTTCCTCCAGGGTGGAGGGAGTGGCTCGGTCTGGTGAAGAACAGCCGCTTCTACAACTATACTCTGAGTCGCAATGGAGTCAGAGAAAAGCATGGAGCTCAGTATCCACAGGTAAACGTGCAACCAACCGCAACGTTGTGGAACATTTCCGGTGCTTTCGATAATTTATGAAGTTGCGGGACTGTAATTTCCGCTGTTGTTCTCCTTCTAGACAAGTGAAGCCTTTCATTTTTCATCCAAATGAGAATATATATAAGTCTGTTAGATATGTGTTTATCCATTGAAAATCACTAGGAAAAAAGCAATTCAGGGTGTCGAACTACTGCAGAGCCAAAGTGTCTGGCTCTGAAAGCATGCAGATTGTAGAGGGATTTGATTTACAATCATTCTCGTGAGTAACCTTTTGGAGACCAGCTCCGAAAGTACAGCTAGGGGGCTTTAAAATTTTTAGTATTTAGGGGGGTGGGAGAAAGGAAAGAAAGAAGAACAATTTTTTTTTTTTTTTTAATATTTCCATCTATTGATTTGTTTTTTCAGGACTACCTGACCGACCTGATCACGGACGAGTCAATACGTTACTTTCGTGCCTCAAAGAGAGTTTATCCTCATCGACCTGTTCTGATGGTTCTGAGCCATGCAGCTCCACATGGACCCGAGGACTCGGCACCGCAGTACAGCACAGCCTTTCCCAACGCCTCGCAGCACATGTAGGTGGAGAGAGATTTTTGTGATGCCTTTAAATAACTGAGGGACTCTAGTTTAGGTTCAAGGACTGAGAGGGTGATGTTGTGGTTGTGCAACCAGTGCAGCACGTACAGATGTTTCCATCTGTTGAGTGAGGATTAGGGCTGCAGCTGTGGCTTAGAAAAAGTGTTATTTTAGTCTTCACTGTAGAGTTTAATTATGAAGCTGAGAGCTGAGAGAGAAAAGAAACTAAATGAGTCCGCTGATGGCGGGCATTCATTTACACCCAGACGTACACACAGACACACACAGACACACATCCTGTCCTCATTATCCCTGCTTTCCCCTCCTTCTGATATTTCCAGAACTCCTAGTTACAACTATGCTCCGAACCTGGACAAACACTGGATTATGCGTTACACTGGCCCCATGAAGCCTATCCACATGGAGTTCACCAACATGCTGCAGAGGAAACGTCTGCAGACGCTACTGTCGGTGGACGACAGCGTGGAGAAGGTATCGACATGCAAAGCACATTACGCATCGTTTTTCCAGCACAATTTCCCCTCATCTACCAGCCATACATCTGCTAAGTCATTGAAGAATCTGCTAGTACGTAACTGAAACGATTTCTGTCCAGAAGCAGCAGATTTTTTTTAATTTTTATTCTCCTTTTCCAACTTTTAGGGCAGTATAGTGTAAGGCATACGTGTCAAACTCAAGGCCCGCGGGTCAAATGCGGCCCGCCAAGCCATTAGGTGTGGTCCGCGGGAGCTGAAAAAAAATGCCTTACCACAATGTCCATGCTGCGTTTATTAAATTGATAAATTAAAAGTTGTTTTTTTGTAGACCAAACAAATTCAAATTATTTGTCCAAACGTGTATTAATATGTTATTGAAGTAGTTACATCTTCAGGGGGAACTGTACAGCAATAATAATATTGTAATAATATGTAATATTATATTACATATTATGAAATGTATGATCTTATTATAATATATATTTTCATAATTTTGTAATTGATTCATTTTTTTTCAGACATTAATATCCATTTAATGGAAGTCATGGAATATATTTGGGATGCACCGATTGTTCAGTCAACAAAGATTTTTGGCCAAAAATTGCCCAAAAGTGCATTTTTGGTTTTCAGCTCTAAGACAAATCAGCAAAACAATACGACGACCAAAAAGTGCATTTTTGGTTTTCAGCTGTAAGACAAATCAGCAAAACAATACGACGAAAAGTTGTTGTGATGACGCAAGCTATAACGGCCAGTGTGGTGAGATCTATTCGGATGTGCGTTATGAAGATCGTTTAATTTATATAGTTCGACTTGGATGTGGGAATAAAGCAGAGCACACGAGAAATTATTCAGGACGCAACGAATGAGGGGAAAAACGTGCTTGGAGACGGCGTAGCTCACAGCACACGAGTAGAGAGTAACATCGCCGGTCAAAGAGAGTAGTAATATTCCTTATGTAACCTGTTTGTGCGCTACAACTAAGTGTGCATTTAAGTGTTACACAATGTCGGAATTTCCACTGTTAAACTCAGGCACAGACAACATGAAAGATAAACAACCGACCCCCCCCAAAAAAATATATATATAAAATACATAAATATAAATAAAACTATAGGCATAGAAATATATATGTGTCTGTACTTCTGTTGAGATTATTATTCTGGTTATTATTACAGATGTCCAATAATATTTTCCTGATATCTGATATGCCGATATTGTCCAAACTCTTGGTTTCCGATTTCGATATCAACCTATATGCAGCGAATTGGGTTAAAGGCAGAAACACTTCGTTGTGTGCAGTGGTGTGTTCTGTCACAATGACAATAATTCACTTTCACTTCTCCAAACTAGGACCTACTTTTTAGGTCACATCTACTTGTTCTGAATTGCACCCTGTTGTAGTAGTGTTACAGAGAACACTTTAAAATGCACTTGACTCAAATGCACTCTGTAGTTTTCTGAGAGATTATATTTCATTTTAGGCCAGCGGGCCTGTGCGTTATTACATAATGTGCATGTCAGTGGGGTCAAGTCAAACATTTTATTTTGAAGTTTATTTCATTTTGTGATTATGCATATTGTTATATTATTATATTTTTCATAATTTTGTAATTGATTTATTCTTTGTGACATTCATATCTATTATGAAATTGCAATACCTTGATTTTAGTGAGGTTAGTAAATGTAACAGTACTAATAACTAGAATAATTTTTTCTCTGTTTCGGTTTTCAACCTTGGATTCCTCATTTTCAGTATTGGGTTCCGCCCAAGAATTTTCATTTCGGTGCATTCATAATTACATTTAATTTATGTTTATCCAACATCAACATGTGCCGCCTTGATACTTGCTATCATCTGCTGTTAAGATACAAATTTACAATTTTGATTTTCTTTGACTGTCCGTCAGCTCTACAACATGCTGGTGGAGACAGGGGAGTTGGAAAACACCTACATTATCTACACATCTGACCACGGATACCACATCGGACAGTTTGGCCTGGTCAAAGGTAGGACGCAAGTATATCCTTCTGTATATATGTCAAAGGTACCAGTTGAAGTCACACAATATTACTCACAGATACTTTCTTTTTTTTAACTCGTTTGTTTATTGAAATTGCCAACATTTGTTTTCGACTCCAAAGTACACTTTCAAATCAAATGAAATGTATCTCTTGCCGCCAAACCTGCCTCATTCACTGCTGTGCATACTTAGAAGTAGTAAACAAAAATTGGCAGCTTAAAATAATAATAGAATAAATGCATCTAAAAAAAAAAAAATCACCCATCTTTCTCGGTGCATTCTTGGTCACAAATGCATGAACCTTGTTGTGCCGTAGTCGCATCATGACGTGGAAAATCTTCCCGATTTGCGAGTTGTTTTTCCGATCTTTTTAATGTTCGTATTTCTGAGGTGTATGAACAAAATACTAGGTATTGGGTAAAATAATTGTAGATTATACGTTAAGTCAGATCAGCAACTACCCCGTTTTGACCGAGTTGATGAAAGGTTTTCCGTCGGATAGTTGTTCTTCCGATTGTAGCGATTTAAGGACGCTACAAATCTGGAGCAGATGGGTAGTAATTTGGCCAGCAGTGCCAGCCCACCAACTGGAGTGTTTTGGTCGAGGGCCCAAACTGAAGGTTGGCCAACACCTGAAGACATCTGCCCAAGCAGGTGTAGGTCACAGAATGACTGCTGTGACATTCAAATGGCAAATTGCTGGACAGATTCCTATCCAATCTCATTTAATCACATCTTAGCTCATCTTGTCTTGTCTTGTTTTGTCTGTGACAGGTAAATCTATGCCCTATGAGTTTGACATCAGGGTCCCCTTCTACATCAGAGGACCAAATGTGGAGCAGGGAAGCATGTGAGTGTATAAATAAAATGTTTTTGTTTTTTTTTTAATTAGTTTTATGCACATTTTTACCAACAAAACTGTTATTGATTGACTATATTTTCCTTTTCTTCTGGCTGTGCTTGTGTGTGTGTGTGTGTATCAGTAATCCTCATGTAGTGCTCAACATTGATCTGGCTCCAACGATACTGGACATCGCAGGCCTGGACACACCTCCGGACATGGACGGAAAGTCAATCCTGTCATTGCTGGACCCAGACAAACTTGTCAACAGGTGCACACACGTGTGGACACACACACACTTCTGCCGCTGCTGCTTTTCTTACCACTTATTCTTTTTTTTTTTTTCTCTCTTCTGTCCTTCAACATTTTCATTGAATTTCATTTTCTTCTTGGTGTCCAGGTTCCAGGCGAACAGGAAACCAAAGGTGTGGAGAGACTCGTTCCTGGTGGAGAGAGGGTAAAATATTCAGTGTTTATTATCTAGGATTTAAAGACTAGTTCATACAAACAAACAAACAAACAAACAAACAACCCTGGTAGATGTGGTTAGCACTCTCACTTTACAGCATGTTCTCACTGTGTTTGTGGATTTTCAATATCTGATTGTGACTGTGGATGGTTGTTAAGATAAGATAAGACTGTATCGATCCCACACCGCACAGTAGCAGCATCAAGCTAGAAGAATAGTAGCGACAACAGGTTTTGTGGTAGTCAGCGATGGTGATTCTGAAAAGAAAAAAAAAATTTTTTTTTTTTTTTTTTTTTTTTTAGTTTAGTTTAGTTACATTACATTTTGTGATTCAAGTGACCTGTTTGGTTTGCAAACAGGAAGCTGCTGCACCAGCGTGTGGAGGGAAAGGAAGTGACACAGGAAGAGAACTTCCTGCCCAAATACCAACGAGTGAAAGATTTGTGTCAGAGAGCTGAGTATCAGAGCCCCTGTCAGCAGACTGGACAGGTAAGGTTCTGGAATGTTCCACCAAACAAAAAAAAAACTGATACAATTACTTTATTAATTGTGTTTGCTGCTTCGATTTTACTGTTTCTCTGTCGTTTTCATGGTCAAAATTTCTTGCATGGCTTTACAATGCAAGACATTGCAAAAAAAACTGGGCAAGAAATCAAGATTTTTAATAAGATTATTCACAATTAATTGTAATTGTGATTATAATTTATTGCTGGACAGACGGACAAATCACAGCAGGTAGACGTTTACCATCCTGGGTGAAATTATTGGATATACAGTACAAGTAATTCTGATGTGTGTCATGTATCAAAATGCGTTAAAAAAATCTGATACATTTTCATACATTAATTACAGCCATTATTTATATCATTAATAAACACAGCTTATTTTTTAATACCTGATTATTTGTGCTCTTGATCAGGGGTCACCAACCCCAGGTCCGGGGACCGGTGCCGGACCGTAGGTCATTTAGTACCAGGTCACAGTGAAAAAAAATGTACTACAAATTTATTTCATTAATTTTATTCCAAAAAAAATCCAGTCATATCCCTTTACTTTTTTCATTCAAAGATAATCTGATGGCTTTGTTTACATTCGCCAGTTCTACGCCATATATTGGATTATGCTGCATTCACTTTCTTCATTTATTTTGTATTATTGCTCACAAGCATAAATCAGAGGCTGTGTCAGAAATCACTCACTCATTCCCGCAGCAAACCCCTGGTTCGTGTACCGGGGCCGGTCCGTAGGGCATTTGTTACCGGGCCAGAGTGAAACACAGCAAAAAAAAAAGTTGTACTTCAGTTTTACTAATTTACTTCATTCAAAAAGAATCCAGTCATATCCCTTTACTTTTTTAATTCAAAGATAATCTGTCAATGTTTCAAAACAACAGGTCATTCAGACTCTGATACTAACAGAATAAAGTCGAAAAGATGTTTTATTTTGACAAATTTAATGATCCTTCAACGATGGTATTACCGGTCCACAGATACAGGCCGACCGGTCGTTGGTACGAAAAAGGTTGGGGACCACTGGTCTTGATTTCACCACTCGGGCCACTTGTTAGAATTACATTATATCATTTTGTCTTGTCTAAAAAATATATATAATACTGTTTATTAAACATTTCTCCTTTTTCACCACTGAATTCATAACCAAATCCCTTGATTTATCCCAAAATCCATCGCTTTGCTGCTTATTAGCGGTGCATAGCTGCTAAATTTTAATAAGTGTTTTTACGCAGCTTTAACCTCGAACACCTTTGTGCCAAATGTAGAAACAGTGAGGGGAAAAAAATGACGAGGCCAACAACAAACCCCACAGTGTATGTGGGTGTTTGTCTGTGTGTGTGCCTCAGGTTAATTATTCTTGTACAGAACATCCCTCACCGGCTGATTAGCATGTAAGCAGCAACAGTGTGTGTGTTTGTGTGAGCGAGCGAGCGAGATAAACAGACCAGCAGAGAGTGGGTTCCAATATGAACACAACAACTCAGCTACTGTTAATGAACAACTGCAGTGAGCCTGAACACTTGGTCCGTGGAGGATCCTGAAGCTCTGCTCTGGGCCCTCGTAACAAAACATCGTCCTCACTCACTCACTCACAGGAGGTTTTACGCTAGAAAATAAACGAAAGCAGCCGTTTCGACTGTTCCGATATGTGAATAATGCCTTTCAAACGAGGATTTTCAGTTCAGTTTTAAGAAGGTATTGTGAAGAGTCAGGATTTTACTGTCGATGTATTTACTGGAAAGACAGGGGGAAACAAAATGATGTTTGTTGTTCACCATTGATGATAAGAAAGAAAAGAAAAGAAAAACAAATGAATGAATTACTAACACAGTGGAACCTCGGTTGTCGAACGCCTCCTTTTTCAAATAATTCCGTTCATAAAGTTTTAACCAAATATTGCCCCCGGTTGTCGTACCGTAACGGTTGCCGAACACGCCAACAATATCCGTCAGGCAGCAAGTGATCACTGAGTGTCTGAGTGTGTGGTGTCAGTCTTGGCTCAGGATATGCACGCTAAGAACTGTTGTCTGATTTTTACCAGGATTTTTTGCGCTGTGCTATTTATTTTTTTTATTTATTTTTTTTATTGCATAAATCACTGTGGGAGATAAAAAAGCAAGTGAAAGTGGAAAGGTGGAAAGACAAGTAGTGAGAACAGCAATAGAAGTGAAGGAAATTTACACAAAAGCATGAGGATGGAGCTATTTATCTATCTATCTGTCCATCTGCCCATCCATCTATTTATTTATCCATCTATCCATCCATCTATCCATCCATCCATCCATCCATCCATCTATCTATCCATCCATCTATCTATCCATCCATC